CCCCCCCCCCCGATGGGTAAGTCTTGGAGTCCCGCTCTAGCTTGCCTCATGTGTGTCCATAACGAATTTACCGTTCTTCGAGGATTGGGGAATGATGCCCGCCTGGTTAAGGAATGCAGATTGGTTGACAATGTTTCTATCTTCATCAAGTACAAATGTAGTGATTCGTCATTTAAGTGCAAGGCAGGAGCGATCTTATCTAAGTTCAAGAAATCATGCTATGGTGAGCATTTGGTTTTGGAAAGCACTAGTGATGCGTTCGAGTGGCCGTATTTGGGTTGTCGAGTGTTGGTGGGTACGAAGCCGGCCAAGGTCTATTGTCAGGCTATGCATAAAAACCAGGACAGTATCATGGATGGAGGTGACATTATTTTCCATAGCTTGCAGAATTATCATTCATTTAGTAGTAAGACACAGTAGGTAGTGGTGATTACTTTCTTTCTTTATAAGGCTATGATAGGGGCACATTGCCTACCACGGAGGCCATTTTTCTTTTTAGCCTTAAGACGGAGCTACATCGAAGGAATTTTCCAGATGGCATTTTCGACAAGGCGCTTAGAAACTTCAATATTAAGATTGGTGGGGCCTGGACTGAATGGGTACGGTGTTTACGAATTCGGATGCTAATGGGCCGCTTGGCACCGACGGTAACTTCGAGAGTTTTCCTGTGGTACCGGGTGTTGGTGATACCAGTGTGGTTCCAATCGGGGTCTAGGTTTTGTCTGTACTAGGTTTAGGTACTATATTAGTCCCGTTTTTTCTGTTTCGTCAACCAGCGTGACCCCCGAGGATGGCCGGTACACTGGCGGACCGGCCGAAACACGTGTAGGGTAATCGCCATTTTGGCGCTTCATGCTACGGCATTCGTGCCGATCTTATTCCTGTTGTCAGCTATCGTTTAATTTTTCACGAGCTGATGCGCTCGGGGAACTAAGCTACCATTCCTTCCTCCTCCTTCTTCATCCCTTCATCCCTTTGCCTTGTTTCGTCCATTTCTTGGATTAGCCTTATGTGTTTCACAGGGCTTGCATGGTGAATGAGATTTATCTACTACTCTACTCTCTCTCTCTCTCTCTCTCTCTCTCTCTCTCTCTCTCTCTCTCTCTCTCTCTCTCTCTCTCCCCTCTGCCCCCCGTGGGCGCATGAAGTCGATGACGGTCACGAAGTTGCCATTCGTTTTTTCGTTTCGTTTTTTTTTTTTTTTTTGGTAGAATAAAATGTTTTTTATTTATTTATTTTTGCGATTTTGTTTTTTCTTCTAAAAAATGCACCGACCGGGCGTTGGTTTCCCCGACCCCCTAAAGTCGTGGCGCGTTAACGGCCGCGACATTTTTTATAGCAGGGCGAGGTACTGGTGCCTTAATCACTATAACCTTTCGATAGTTGATTGCTCTGTGATGATGGACGGCCTCAATAACACTTTTCTTGCCGAGTCTTGCCAGCCAGCCTTTGATCATTGATTGCTCTATGATGACCAGCAGCCCCAGTAGCCTTGTATCAGCTAGGCGATCAAGTTCTCTCTCTCTCTCTCTCTCTCTCTCTCTCTCTCTCTCTCTCTCTCTCTCTCTCTCTCTCTCTCTCTCTCTCTCTCTCTCTCTCTCTCT